CATAGCCAACCAGCAAAATGGATGTTCATAAACCAGGAATGGTTTCTTAACCAAAGCTCAAAGAACAACATGATATCAAGGGCACAACTACAGACAGTACTGGGCTCTGCCAACTACAGCTAGGGCTGCAACTCAAGTGGCAGAGTACAAGAGTACAGGAAAGCATGAAAGCACTGTGTGCAAGGACTCCCCCCAACCCGCCTCCAGTCACACCAATGTGCACTGCATCACTTTCAAAAACAAAGGACAATAGGACTTTGGTCATCCCTAGATCAAAGAGCCATCCCACCTAGAAATTGCTCTACAAAAGGAAAAACAGGTAGATGAGGTGATGATAAGAGTATCTATCATAAAAAAGAATGAATGATTAGTGAACTCACATCTAGATAAATGCAACAACCTCCCAGTTGTGTTTTCTCTCTTTAACCAACAAACAGCAGAAAGTTTCCCCATATGCTAGGAACTATTGTAGGTGCTGGATATAAAGAGTGATGACAACTGGCCCCTGCCCTCATGAAGCCTACAATCCTGGAAGCTACGTATACTCACAATACACATGCATCCATGTTATAACCTGTAGGCTGTAGGCTGACAATAGTCACTTTCTACCTGATTTTTAGGAACCAGGGCTCTTATTCCCCCCTTTCCCTGGTAGTCTGCTCTATAAACTGCTTGATAACCCTATTCCTCCAGCACTGGCCTTAGCTCTGCCAACCCTCCCAGAAACTCTACACATAGCAGATTTTATTGACTCCCAACTATGTCTGCTAGCATCTCCATTTACCTCCTCCTAGATTCTCTGACCCCCTCTGCTGCCCTGCTTACCTACCTACATACCCATTCCTCTTACCATTCTTCTCTGATCTCACCAGATGCCTGTGCTCTGAGATCTGAGCTCTCCAAACCTCTTAAGGGGAAGGGGGACACCAAGTTCATAATCAGAAAAGACTACTTGGAGGGCTGGAAACTGGTAGCCTTTGAAAGGTTGAGGTCATTGAGGAGGCTACCCTTAGGTCAGGCTTCTCTGTGTGGCCTCAAACAGTCAACTGGGTAACCTCTTTCTGGACAGTTCTGGAGAAACAAAGAAAATGTTTTGTGCTTTTACTTAGGTAGTTCTAGACTCCATCTTTCTTCTTTCCACAATTCATTAGCTTTCTTTTACTTTTAGTCATGCTTTAGTTATGTAGCTCTTCATTTGAACTTCTTGTTCTTAGTTTGTTCTTATTTGACAGCATGGCCTAAGAATTCTGTGGAGGACTAACATTATCTATTAGTATAAATTTAACTTGTTATAAAGCAAGAGAAAGAGAGAGGGAAAGAGTGACAGAAAGAAAGAGTGACATTTTGTCTCTAAAAGATGTCATCCATGTGGTCCTAACATTCATTTTTTTTAAAAATGATTTTATTTATTCATTTGTCATAGAGAGAGTGGGAGAGAGCACAAGCAGAGAGAGTGGCAGGCAGGGGGAGAGCATGAGCGGGGGGAGGGGCAGAGGGAGAGAGAGAGAAGCAAACTCCTGGCTGAGCGGGGAGCCCGATATGGGGCTCGATCCCAGGACCCTGGGATCATGACCTGAGCCGAAGGCAGATGCCCAACCGACTAAGTCACCCAGGCGCCCGGCCCTAACATTCAGAAGACAATGGCAGGAAATGCATTTTGCTCTACAAGGACTGGAGATATTTCTGATTGTCATGACACTGTGGGGATGATACTGACATATAGTAATAGAGACCAGAGATACTCCTAAATATCCTACAATGCACAGGACAGCCCCACAAGCAAAAAAAAAAGTTCAGCCCCAATATCAGCAATGCTGAGGTTGAGAAACTGGATTACAGTTTGTTCAAAAGGCCAAGGAAGATTACATAACTCCTTTTCACTTGGGCAGAGGTTTGTCTCAATTCTCTGAAATTATCAGTAATACCCCCAATGATCTGGCTGCCTTTAATGGTTGAGCTTCTGCTTGTGGGCTTTTGCACACTACCACCTTAAAGTTCAGTTATCACTCACTAAATACACCATTAATTGGTTATCCTTCATCACATGTGTATGGACTCAGCTTGTTAACAGATTCCTCCTCACTACGCACATGTGAAGGCTTTCCTTATTTGGAGTCATTACCAAAATTTATGGTGTTGGTTGTGTTGAGAGAGACAAAAATGGCAGGAAAGAAAGTGGAAGTAAAAATCTTACATGGGATGAAATTCCACTAGGCTTATGATGACTTAAAAACTTTATGAGTGAGAAAGAAAGCAAATAAATAGTTTCTACTTTAGATGTGAAACTTGCCAGCTGCTTCTAGGAGTCTCCTTCCCTTCTTTCTATAATCAGGAGCTATCAAGAATAAAAGAAGGAAGACAGAAAGGCAGTTGGAAATGGGCAGTTCACTGTTTGGTATGAGAACTGAACCTGAAAATCTCTGAGGTGTCGCTATGAAAATGAAAAGAAAGGAAACCAGGACATGTTGCCCAAATTGGATCAGACTTTCCCTTTTCCTTTTCTTTAGTCATACACTTGCAAGATATGACAAACTGTTAATTATTGTGTGATGATAAAGAGAGGTAGGATTAAGCTCTAGGATAGGGTGGGGGGAGTGCAGGGAGACAGTCTCTCATGGAGAAACCTCCCACAGAACATATTTTTAAAATGACTCTTCTGACTTCTGATGTTAATGGTCTTCTCTTTTCTCATTTAACCAAAAATAAAAATTTGAGAATTTGAAATGAGTTCTGGGCATGTGGATCTTGTAGGACCATATTGAATGAAAGCCAGAGTATCCATTTTGACTGTTAGGAGATAACCATCACAGGTTGTGAGCTTAGGAGAGGTTATAAGAAATGAATAAGAGTACAGAAATGTTCCACATGGATTACAGAAGAAAAATTGCGTATGGATCTGCCATTTATGGGAAAGTACCAACTTATGAACTGGTTATGTTCTTGAAAGTTCATCTGATTACTAGAAACAACAAGAGCACAAATGAAGTGGAGGGAAAAAGTAGTTCATTGATTTCTGGATAGGATGTTCAAAAATTTGTAGTCCAATGCTCTCTAAAATGAGGAGGAAAAAACTGGTTCAGAAAAGTTGATCATCTTGCCAAAGATCACTATGAGATTTAGGAACAAAGGTTGGTCTTGGGATTCCCCAGGCAGTCTACTAACCATGTTGTTTTACCTATAAGCAGGAAGTGAGTAAAAATAGTGATGGTGAGGAGCAGAGGGATAGGAGATGTGCTGTCCAGGTGTCTGGAAGGTGAGGGAGAGAAGAGGAAGTGAAGGTGGTAGAGAAGGAACACTCCAGAAGCAAGGGGGCGGGTCTGTATTCTGTCCAACCTATGGGAGACAATTTGCGTGTACACTGAGTGGGGGCTTCCTACATGTGGGGTTCTGGTCCCTGCTATTGCCCAGAAGATATGTGGCGTACAAGGAAAGAAATGACTCAGATGGAATCTGGAAGTTCTTTACAAAATGTCAGCATCAGGGCGCCTGGGTGGCTCAGTTGGTTAAGCGACTGCCTTCGGCTCAGGTCATGATCCTGGAGTCCCTGGATCGAGTCCCGCATCGGGCTCCCTGCTTGGCAGGGAGTCTGCTTCTCCCTCTGACCCTCCCCCCTCTCATGTGCTTGCTCGCTCTCATTCTCTCTCTCTCAAATAAATAAATAAATCTTTAAAAAAAAATGTCAGCATCCTTCAGAATCTAACTGATGGTCTCAGTCCTCTAGAATTCATTAATTTATTCAACAAATATATACTGAACCCCTATTTTATGCCAGGTACTGTCCCAGACCATGTGGCTATAGTAATGAATGAGACAGGTAAGGTCCTTCACATCAGGAGGCTGCTTTCTAGTGAGACAGATAAAACGTAAGCAAACAAGTATGATAATGTCCAATTATGTTAAATGCTATGAAGAAAATAATACAGGGTAATACGACAGTGACTGAAGAATCTACTTTAGATTGGGTGGTCAAAAAAGCCTCTCTGAGGAGGTGACATTTGGGCTGAGACCTCAAGGACAAGAGCCAGCTTTGCAAAGGGCTAGGTCTGGGTGGAGAGCACAGCCCATACAGAGTGCATGATCCAGCCTGGCAGGTTCAAGAGGCACACAGAAAGCCAGTGTGGCTGTAACTTGTTGAGCAAGAAAGAGCAGATGAAATGAGGTTATCAGGGGTGAGCCGAGCCATATTAGATTGATGTGTATGTTCATTTAACAATTATTAAGCACCTATTTTGTGCAGAGCATTGCTAAAGATATAAAAATAACACTGAGAAACCCCTACCTCAAGGATTCCGTCCCCAGGGAAGAAAGTTAAGAGCTTAGTAGGGGTGATAGAATTCTCAAAACAATTCTGCTACAGGTTAGAAAGTATTCTACTCCAGACACAATCATAATGCAGACATTACTATGCTGTTTAGCAAAGACAGGGGCTTTCCGGAAGCAACTGTGTCAATACAACCATGCACCTAATACAGCCAGTTTATAATTTGAAGATGGGCACATACTATAAATCCAAAGACACGGTATGAGGTCTGAGATCTGGCCATCTGCTCCCCCACGGTAGGGAGGTTAGGTCATCCCAGAGATGAGTCACTGAGCCCACCTTTCCCCCTTTCCCCACCGGGTGAGCCTTCTCGGTCTTCGTGGGTGGGGCAGGGCCATAGGAATCCCCCAACCGGGGCCTAAATCTGTCGCCCTCAGAAAACCCAACCAGGGGAGCCGCGAAGACCAAAGCTCTGATTAGCACCTGATTCACCGAGGCAGTCAAGGCAGGGCGGTGACTACTGGTAACAGGTCCCCCCAGCCGCCCCAGGGGAAAAGGTCTGCGGGAGTTTTGGTGACCCTGATCCCGGGGGAGGTGGCCGGGTGACGCGCTGCGGCCGGGTTGGGGAAGCGCCTGCGCGACCACCCGGCCCCGCCCCCGCCCGTAAGTCCTTCTCCCGGAACGCTCGCTGCCGGGGCTCCCGCCGCTGCGTTGCGCGTGCGCTTTGGGCTCCGGCTCCGGCAGCCTGGAAGCTGTGAGCTGCGCAGGGCGGGGCGAGCGGTCGCAGCGCCCGGGAGCCCGACGACGAGTACCGGGGAGCCGGCCGGGGAGGGGTTCTTGGGCGCTCACGGGGCGTGCACTGGCAAAGCGAGACCATTTCCCGGCAAGGGCGCCAGTTCCTCCGCTCTGCTCGGCCGGGAAGTCCGGGGCGGACTAGCGGAAAGCCCTACCGTCCAGGCCAGCTCCCTGGAGCAAACCGAGTGGCCTGGATGTCCCTGATTATTATTGTTGTTGTTGTTTATACTGCGAGCACGAAATTCCTCCCCAGGGCCTCCTCCCCCGCCCGCTCCACCTGCTCCTCCCTCCTGTTGTAACATGCCATTAGTGAGCCTGCGACCTCATTTCCAAGGGTGCTAGAGTTCGCATTCAGCCACCATGGGGAATGGGATGAACAAGGTAACGTGTCTTTCTTTCGTTTTTGCTGGTTTTGTTTCCACTTTCCAGGCTTCCCCCTGGCTGGTGTTTGCTGGGCAAGGAGAGCCCTCGACGGGTGCCCCCTCTTCGCGCTCCGACCTGTCTGACCAGGTCGTGTTCCACCGCGGCTTTGACACTGCGTGCGCTTTCCTCTAGTGGGAACGGGAGGGAGGGGCAGCGCGCCTGGCGCGGTGCCGGTGATGTCTCTGTTTTTGAGGCCCCCCCCCCCCCGGCCTCCTGCGGGCTTCCGGGTAAGCAGTCCCCCGCGCCTACCCTGCCAGCCGGTGTGCTTTGCAACTGAGAGCAAGCCGTGCCCTTTAAAAGCGTTGACGCTTGTTCTGCCGAGACCTCAGCTGAGCTCAGAGGGGTTGTGGTTTCTTTTTCTCCCTTCCCCTTCTTCACTCCCAAACTCGGCTCTTGAAGCGTCACCACCCACATTATTAGTAAACTGGAGTAGATAAATATCTTCTATTATTTAATTTCCTCTTTCTCCCACATTCTTTTTTTTTTTTTCGTGTGGACAGAGAAGTTGACAGAGACCTAAGTCCTGAGGTGTTACCTGGCAGGGATGGGGGTTTTGAGAAAACAGACTGAGAGCTGATTTATCCTGGATTATATGGGTTCTGCAACAAGGGCAACCTGTTGGCTGGCTGCTTGTGCTGATTTTGCCTTATACAAAATTCGTGTTGCTCTCTTCTTTTCGTCTCTGTTCTGGCCCCCACCGTCTGCTTTTCAGTTTCCCTAGAACCCCCTTCCTAGGTTGTGAGATAGTCTGTCTTTCCTGACAGTGGAAGATACCAGAAATTAGCTCTTGCAGTTGAGAGCTGCCTGGGGTGTATATTCATATCAACCACAAGGTTGAGGATTTTGTGATCTGGTACTGCTGGTTTAAAGGAGAGAAAAAACTTTTAAAAAGCCCTCCGCAAAAGCAAGTACCTCTTCACAGGTCTTTAAATGGTCCTGGATCAGAGGTTAGTTTCTGGCCTAATGCTTGTGTGCCCCCATTCTATTTCACTCACATACATCTCCACATAGATTCAGCTTTCATATTTGGTGGATAAAACCATGTGGCTGGCTGGCTTTCCTTCTTTCTTTCCTCTCTGCACTAGGGTCAGCAATGGTTTGGTTCTTTCAGCTAGAGTGTAAAGTGCGATGGGGAGTGTTAGAAGTTAAGGTTGGGAAGAAAGTGCAGTCACGGGTAATCCTGGGTACCCAGTTAACTTTTTTCTCCTGCCCACATCATGTTTATTGTGTTCTGCAGACTTAGTTTATAGAAGAACTGTGTGATTTGGCCCTGCATATCTGAGGCTTTTTGGTAACCAGAATGGTGTTCCTTGTGTGGGGTTTTTTTTGGGGGGGTGGGGAAGCAGTGACCAAGATTAGAAACAGACTATTTCTCTTGGATAAATACTTGCATTATGTCCCCGGGCGCCTGGGTGGCTCAGTCCTCAAGTGTCTGCCTTCGGCTCAGGTCCTGATCCCAGCGTTCTGGGATGAGCCCTGTTTCGTTCTCTCTCCTCAGTGGGAAGCCTGTTTCTCCCTCTCCCACTGCCCCTGCTTGTGTTCCCTCTCTCGCTGTTTCTCTCTCTCTCTCTGTCAAATAAATAAATAAATAAAACCTTAAAAAAAAATCCATCAGCACCATAAACCTTCTGCTTGTTAAATGAAAACATAACAATAAAGATGCTTCCACAAGTTTGTGGGCTTGTAGTTGTACCTCGGTTTTCCTTTGGTTCTTTCTACAGTTTTTTTCACTTGAGTTGTTCACTCTCCATCGCTTTTGCATTTGATTTGTAGTATTTTATATTATGATTCAAAGAACATACTTAAGAATATGAATATGAATGATTGCCTAAGGTTCAAAATTAAGGCTTTTCAGCAAAAACAGTCATTCTTATTGTGACTTTTACCTTTAAAGGAAAGTAATAAATTTCTTGCTGTTATTATCATAATCATTTTGTATTGTAAATAGAGCTACTATACCTAATGTAGAGATGCAGAAACATAATAGATTTCGAGAGGTCATTAATTTAACAAATATTTATTGTGTACCTACTATTAGCCAGCTAGTTGAGAGGGCAGAGGGAGAGTACAATGGTAAATGACACAGTCTTTCATAGAACCTTTGGTATAGACCAGAGGTTGAGCCAACTGAAGTGTTTGCCTCCCATTGTCACAGGCTAGGTTTCCTATGAAATCCAGGGACAGCTCGATTTTTACCAGGTAGAATGCTTTTTGGAGGACACAGAGCAGCTAGGAAAGAAGAAGCCATCAGCCTGGGCAGCTGGGTTCCAGATGAAGTGAACCAACCCTGGCAGTCAATGGGGGGTTAAGATGTTGGATTGGGAGGGTCCTCACATCCTGCCTAGAATGGTAATACTTGCTTCAGCCCACAATCAGATCATTAATTCAGGTTGATCAAGATAAAAATATGCACATGGAGAGGGCGCCTGGGTGGCTCAGTTGGTTAAGCATCTGCCTTCGGCTCAGGTCCTGATCTCAGGATCCTGGGATGGAGTCCTGCATGGGGCTCCCAGCTCAGCAGGGAGTCTGCTTCTCCCTCTCTCTCTCTCTCTATCAAATAAATAAATAAAATCTTTTTAAAAAATGCACATGGAGAAGGATTTGGGGCAGATTTCTCTGATAAAATGCTTGGCCAGGTAGACTAGATTTTTGTTTTTCATGGGGTATTATAGTACTTAAGACTAATAAGGTGACAGTGAGTATAGGAGTTTCCATGATAGGTCCTCACCCAGAAGAATAGCAGGTTCAGACCCTTGAGAGAACTTTGAGTCAGTTGGGAGTTTTCAAAGACTCCACAGAAACATGACATTTGCATGCAACAGGCTGTTTAGTTTAACCCTAATCCCACTAGAGACATTTACTAGGTTGATCTTTAGCAGCATGGTGAGGCACTCTGCATTGTGGCTATGAGCCAGACCATCTGGCTTTGCGTCCAGGCTCTGCCACTTACCAGCTGGGTGGCTTTGGGCAGGTCACTTAACCTCTGTGCTCCTCATCTGTAAAACGGGGATGAAAATAACAACACTGACTTCATGGGGTTATGGTGAAGATCAAATGAGTTACTCTGTGCAGTGAAGTCTCAAAATAGGGCCTGACACACTATAAACTCATTAGTGATTACATTTTTGGCCAATTCAGAGGATCTATTTGAGAATTGCACAAAAAGTAATCAAAGATTATTTTAGTTGCCTGCCTTCCTCTCCTCTGGATGAATGTCAAACATGAAGGAAGAGAGAAGGTGGCTTTTCCTATTTTGCAATTAATTTGGAGCTCTGGGGAGTTTTTTCAGGTTACTTTTCAGAGTCTTTAGAATTCACTTAGGCTGAACTGCCATCCTAGCACAAAGGAAAGATTTCCACTACTTTCACAATCAACAGGAACTAGGTTTCAAACCTAGCATTAGGACCTTAGTAATGTTATTTAATCTCTCTGAGGGTCCATTTCCCAATCTGCACAAAGAGGATAAGACACACTGACTTCCCACGGTTATAGTGAGGCTTAGATTTTATAAGCTGTAGGCACATGATATGAGGCTTAAAAAATAATAGATCACAACTGCTGTGTTCTCTTTTTCTATTTCCTCGTCATCTTTAATAGGTCATAACATAGAAGCCTCATTCCCTTACATTGCCTGTGTAACATGCTGTGTCCTCCTAACTGAGATGGACATGATGTTCTGCCACACAGGAGACTGGAATGTATTGATGAGAACATCCTCCATGAGGACATGACATGTACATAAAAACTGCTATACTTGAAGCAGTCAGAAGAAAATCTATGTTGTTTAGTTCCTAAGTTTTCTTTTGCTAAGGATGACCAACTTCTGTGAGATGGGAAAGGAATCTTGTCCCAATAACCTTAGGGCACAGATACTGCAAATCATGCTTTTAGTTCCAAGGGCATTGTATGTTTTTATTTGTAAATGGTCTTAGAAAAGCATTTCTATGGTTAACATTTTGATTCTGCAAATCAACTTGCTTTTACAGATGGGAAAAATATGAAGCCTAGTTTAAGACACACAGGAATACATGAACAAATTCTAGCTAAGGCTTTTAATTTCTAGCTTCTAGCAAGGTACTTTGTCACTAATCTTGTAACTTTGGGCAGTTCCTTCTGATCTCAGCTTAAACACTTTTACTCCAGCAGGATCCTTGGCCGAGATCAAATGCCGCCTAAAATTATACTCATTATCTACTTACCCCACTCTCCTGAAGTTATCTGTCTTACCCTCTGGAACCTCCACACCTCCCCACCTCTCTCTTCCTTTTCTCTTTTCCCCCCACCCTCCCTCACACACACACACATACATACAACCTGTGTTGTGTAGAACAGTAGCCGTTAGTCACAGGGCTATTGAGTACTAAAATGTGGCTAATTGCAAATGAGGTGTGATTTAAGTATAAAATACACACCAGACTTTGAAGAGTTAGTACAAAAAATTTTAAACCATTCTATGAATAATTGTATATATTGGTTACAGAAATATGTTTATATATTGGTTGTGCATTATAACTATTCCGAATATATTTCAGTTAAATAAAATATATTAAAATTGATTTCATCTGTTTCTTTTTACTTTTTATGTGGCTACTAGAAAATGTTAAATTACATATATGGCTCACATTCTATTTCCATTGGGCTACCACTGTTCCATGAGAAGCCCACTGTGGGGAAAGACAGAGGGGCAGGGCTAGCACAAAGCCTGATTTGGAGTGCCTCTGCCACTCTGCTGCTTCATGAGTGTGATCTTGAACAAGTCACTTAATGTTTCTGAGCTTCAATTTCTTTACCTCTTTTGACTCATAGAGATGGTGGTTAGCTTATCCAGTCTCATTTGCTCAAAAATGAATATGGTGATACTTCCCAAATTCTTGAGAGAAGCAAATGAGAATTTATTAGAAGACATTCTTGCGACCTGTAAAGTGCAAATATGCACTGCTATTAGCGTGAGTCGATTT